GGGGTCCCTCGGCGTGGACCTTCGACGTGTGTGGACGCTGGAGGTCCCTAGAAAGGATGTCGGGTGGGTGAGATAAAGCACGGGAGTGCTTTGTAACCTGCAGGTGCCTTTCAGAAGCGGGGTTCTGCCACGTCTCCTCACTGCTGCCCCCCCGCCTCGGCCTTTTCCAGGAAAAGGTCGGGTGCTCTAGGATGTCATACTCGCCGGAGACGACCGCCGCCCCCGCGGTGCTAACTGCTCCCTGCCCCGACCCCGGGGTTTAAAGAGCAGCCGGAACGCCCGACCCAAGCCAAGCGGCTCGCAGCTTTGCCCTCGCGGCGGGGCCCCTCCGTGGCCCGAGCACTGCCCGCTTACACCGGCCCGCGGCGGCCCTCGGGTGTTGTCAGTTCGTTCTGCAGATCAGTTTTTTTCGGTGAACGAAAACTGGGAACGGGATAAACTAACATACAGCCTTACGGTTTCTTTTCTGTTTTGTTGCAGGGCTTCTGCTGCAACCTCACGTATCCGTGAAGATCTTTCAATTTTATATTTTTATTAACATCTTTTTAAAAATTGAGGGGCGTAAGGAGACAGCTTCACTTTCTTGAAACCCCGTTCTTGGCATGACTTCTGTTGCTTATTTTTTGTTTTGACGTAACGCGCTCGCGGACTGCGTGTTGCGTATGTCGCTGCACCTGAATCCGCGCCTCACTCCAGCTCTGAACGTCACTTGCCAACAGCGCACAGTACCAAGAGCTGCGATGGTCCAGTTTTCACTTGTGTGACTTAATGTAACGGCCAGTTGTAATAAATACATTTCACTTTTTATTTTTCCCTTGGTAGTTTCATTTTAAAGTGAGAAAGGAATCTTTTTAAAGCAACCTTTCATTGGATTGTTCAAATTTGTGATTGTCCAGGACTCACTTCAGCAAACCCCTGCCCAGCGTCTGCCATGGCGCACATACCCCTGCTCCCAAGTGTGGCCAAGGGGAAGCTGGTTGTGGGGTGTGGGGCATTGAGGATGAGCTTAAATTAGTGAGCTGGGATTTCTCCATGTGTGATTTCTCCTTCCTTCTTCATGAAGGGCTTTGAGGTCTGGGCTGGAGTTGGGGTAGGAAGAAAAGGGGAGCAGGCTTCAGGCCAAAGGCTGGGGAGCGGCTCTCCCTGCACTCTTGTTCTGGTACAGGACCCTCAAAATGTTGAATTCTAAATTTGCACCTGACCTGTAGGTTTTATGCAGGGATATTTGTCAAGGCAGAAGAGTACAACCTATTTCATTGAACTGTTATTAGTTTGGTTTAAATCTTAAATCGTTAGGCAGATGGAACATGGGTTTCTGTTTGTACTCTTGCCCTGAGCCCTGCAAATGTGGTAGGTGGTTGTAGCTGGTCACCTATCCCTGTTCATTTCCAGATAAATTCTGCAGTAGAACTTTGTATGGCATAAGGGTCACTGACTCACCTTGTGAAGTAAAATTTTTCTCAACTGAAAAATAAATAAGTGAATAAATTTGTGGTTGTCACTGACTAAAAAATAACCATAAGAGTTGATTGCAATCTAGAAAACTGATTACCTGTCATTTTACTCTGTTCAAAATTGTCAAAGTACACTTACAATGGGAATTCTATTAAGATGTTTAGGTACAGGTTCATGTTCATGAGCTTGAGCAATATAAAAGTGATATACCAAGTGATGATAAAAAGGTTGGTGTTCACATTAGGACTTCCTTTCAATTTCCTTTTGGGAGCTTGCTTTTGGTTTGGTGGAAGAAGGACCCTAGAGCTTATCCCTAATATGATGATCTTAAACATCCCTGTCTTCTGGACTGCTCTGTTGGCAGTTATCCTTAATCACTGCTGGTCTGATACAGAGACACCACTGAGGAGATGGTTGAGGTAGACACAAGCTGGGAGTGAGGCACACTAAGGGAAGAAAAGCTTGGAGAATGCCACTAAAGGCTTTGTGGTTTTGACAAGGGCAAAACAAGCTGTATTGAGAGAGATTTTTAAGGCTTCTAAGTTTTTCTTTAAAGGAATTAAAATATATACCTCAATTAGGAGAAATAACAGTAAAATGCTCAAGTGCCAAATGTGCAATGTGATGTGACCACTACCGAGATCAATATATATAGAATATATACAACATCCCCGAGAGCTGCTTTGTGCCCCTTCTAACCACCACCACCACCATTCTGTCTTGCTTTGCATTCTCTTGAACTTCATATAAAAGGAATTATACAGTATGTAGTTTTTTGTATGAATTACTTCCCCTGAGCAGTTTGTGTGGATAGCTGATTTGCTATTTACAAGTAGAAGAGATGTAGTGAGTGGAAGTCTATATGGATGGTGGATAAGCATTTTTCTTTTTTTAATTTAGAGGAGGCGTGGATGTATACATTACCTATTTATGATGCGTTATATGAGCTAGGCTAATGTATAAAAGAATTTCTAACCCAACCAATTTTTAAAAAATCCTTATGCATTATAGGGAATATTTTCTTAGATTCCCTTTACTTTAAATTTATATCCAGTTTTATTCATATTTTTTAAATTGCATTTCATTTCCACAACCCTGCCTTCTTGGCAGTACATGAAATGGGCTGAAGATAGTATTGTCCTAAATAGAAGTGACAGGATTATCCAACCACCTTCTGAAATGCTGTCCAACAGAATCTGGTTTTGTTAGCATTAATTCTTATATTTAGACTCCATTTCTAAAACACATAAAGATACTCTGTTGTCAGAAAAGGCCATACAAAATAATCAATATGTGAATAAGGTCAAAGGCGTTAGTATTTAATGTTAAAACTTGAGTGAGCTTTAGGCAGCGTGGCTCAGTTGGTTGAACACTGTTCCATGCACCTAAAGGTCGCAGGTTCCAGTCCTGGTCAGGGCGCATACCCAGGTTTGGGTTCCACCCCCAGTTGGGGTGCGTGTGGGAGGCAACCGATTGCTGTCTCTCCCCTCCCTCTCTCTCTAGAATCAATAAAAACATACCCTCAGATGAGTGTAAAGAAGCAGGCAGAAGACATGAGCAGACGCCTGTCCCAAAAGACACAGAGGGCCAGCAGATACGTGAAAAGACTCCCAACTTCACTAGCTACTGGGAAATGCAAATCAAAACTACAGTGCGAGCCCGGCCGGTGTGGCTCAGTTAGTTGAGCGTCATCCTGTGCACAGAAGGTTTAACGGCTTGATTCCTGGTCAGGGCACGTACCCAGTTTTCGGGTTCATGTATGGGAGGCAACCAATTTATGTTTCTCTTTCATGTCGATGTTTTTCTCTTTCTCCCTCTCTAAAATCAATAGACACATTTTTTTAAAAAAAAACTACAATGCGATACCACCTCACACCCGTTAGAATGGCTATTATCAATAAGACAAATAACAAGTGTTGGAGAGGTTGTGTGAAAAAGGAACGTTGATTCACTGCAGGTGGGAATGTAAACTGGCCCAGCTGCTATGGAATACAGTATGGTGGTTCCTCAAAAAAGTAAGAATAGAGTTACTGCCCAGCTGGGCGTGGCTCAGCAGTCAGGCATCGACCTTGGGTGCAGAAGATTGCAGTTTGATTCCGGGTCACGGAACGTGCCTGGGTTGTGGGCTCGATCCCCAGCAGAGGGTGTGCAGGAGGCAGCCGATCAATGACTCATCACTGATGTTTCTCTCTCTCTCTCTCCCTCCTTTCTTCTCTCTCAAATCAATAAAGATAGATTTTTAAAAATAAATAAATAAAAACTTTTAAAAAGAACAGTTACCATATGACCCAGCAATTCCTCTTCTGAGTATCTACCCAAAAAACTCAAAAACATTTATTTGTAAAGATATATGCACCCCTATGCTCACTGCAGCACTATTCACAGTGGCCAAGACATGGAAACAACCAAAGTGTCCTTCAACAGATGACTGAGAAAAGATGTGGTGCATGTCTACTATGGAACACTACTCAGCCATAAGAAAAGATGCAATACTGCCATTTGCGAAATAAGTCAGTCAGCAAAAGCTAAGAACCATATGATTTCACTCATGTGGGATATAAAACTGAAACTCACAGACACAGACAACAGGGGTGAGGGTGGGGGTGAGGGGTAGGTGGTAAAGCATAAAGAGGGCCAAATAGATGGTAACCGAAGATTATTTGACTTGGGGTGGTGGGCACTCAATGCAATGTACAGATCATGTATCCCAGAGATGTACACTTGAAACCTATATGATCTTATTAACCAATATCACCCAATAAATTTAATAAAAAGATTTCTGTAAGTATGAAATGCTCTAGGGGACCCCACGCAGATCCTAGAGTTCTTTGTGTATCTCCCGTCTCCCTTTACTCTACAAAAATAACAATTAGACAAAGTAGATTGTACAAGTTCATAGAAAAAAAATTTCAAATGCTTCAAAATTCTGTAGGAAAATTACCTCTAAGTCAGAATTCTCTACAGGCCAAATCTGTCAATCAATCGTGAGACTAGAATAAAGTTATTTTCAAACCTAAAAGATCTAAAAAAATATGCATTCCATCCATCCTTTCTCACAAAGCTAATGGAAGATAGGCACCACCTAAATGAAGATGAAAACAACAAGTAGAACATGTGATCAAGGAAATAGGACAATAGTAAGAGAATAGTAAGAGGAATTGCTGATGGATGGATTGGAACAGCAAGATGAAATTAATATTTGAACAAACTGAGAGACCTATCCTCCTGAACTAGCTTGGAATTAAATTAATGATTATTACATGAAAAACTAAGCAAGTTTTTAAAAAGTATTAAATCTATTCACAAATTTTTAAGGGATAAACCTTATTTAAGAGTTATTTTGACTTTGGTCTTCGGCCTTTCTTGCATTATACTTCCCCTTTGTTTAGGAGGAACCACATTTTAAGTGCCTTGCCTTACAGTTCTAACAGGAAACTCAGCAAACTGGAAATAAAACCAAAATTTGAGAAACAAAACTGGTATCTGTAAATTAATAACATGGTAAAACTTTCAAAATTATATTTCATAATACTTTGTAGTACTAAAAACAAGCAGTATATAGAAATTGTCTAATAGAAAATTCCTACAGACAGGTGGTAGAATACAGTGAGCTTTAAAAAACCTTTCTACCTTATAATTCTGTGAGTGTATATTGAGAAGCCACTTTTGCAGTCACTGACTAGAAAAAAATTACAGTTGAGATAATTGATACATAGATAAATGCATATGTACATAAGAAAAACTGTAATTTTGTAGATCTTTGAAGTTTCTATTTCTTTTTTAGAAGCCACATTTTTTGCCTTAGAAATTCCATGCTTACTGTAATTTTCATATATAATCATTAAAATAATAGGGCAGATTCTTACCTCAGAAGTTTATAGAACAAGCCTACTCCTAGTGCTGACAAACTAGGCATTAAAGGAAACAGGAATCTGACTAAAGTTTGATACTGCTATTGTACATAGAATAAATTTGAGATTTGATGCTTTGTGGCATTATATTAACCTTTTGTTTATATTTTGCCTTGGAGCTTGTAAACTCAGAGATAGCTGAGTCTTGTATGGAATAATGCAAGTCAGATTAAAGGCATCCAATACTATCTTGTTAACGGCTGATTTGTTAAGAAAATATGTAGGTTATAAAAATTTGGAAAGAAACAACTTAAGAACATAACCAATGCCAAGTATATAGCAAATGGATAATTTTCTGGTTCCTCCATGTCATATTAACTTAAAATAACAAACATGTCAATTATGCTCTTCACATCTTTTCAGCCACATTTCCCTTTTGTTCTCATAATTCTTAAGCATATTGTTTTGTGCTACTCCTGACTGACACACTATTTTTGGCAGATTAC